GAAACTTCAGACGGCTGAGACAATGGGTGTCCTTGGAATAGAAACTCGAACACCTGATTGTCATTTTAAGTTCGACCTTCGGATTCCAGTAGTTGGTCCAGCTTTCTTTTCATGCTCGTCGAGTAATTATTTGCAAGCATGTGTAACACTTTATTTTCGTGCTTGAGCCCTCTAATTTCTTGTTTAAGACTTGCCACATCAGCCATCAATGATTCAACTTGGTGAGTTCAAGCAAGTAGGCGTTGGCCCATATTAGAAACATAGTCTGCACACTGAATACTGAGAGCCAAGGAGTCTTGAACGGCCAACTCATCAAACCGGTTTGAAAGGATTCTGTTATCCTTGGGAGTGAGAAGATTCCTAGCTACCACTGTAGCGGTTAAGTCATTCTTCATCATAGAGTCCCCAACTGTAAGAAAACCATTAGAAGATAAGAAGGACGGAAGCCATATATTATCCTGACGCAGCTCATTTGTACCACTCTTAAGACTCAAATCTAAGTAAATGTTAGATGGACAAGCCAATTTTTAGAAATGATGAAGGAAAAAGGAGGTCAGATAAAATCTCAAAAGTGCAAGAAAGGGAAAATTCTACATGCATTAGTTTTTCGAGCATACATTTTGAGCACAATTGATGCCTCTATAAAAGAAGAAGCAACATGGCCACTTGTTCAAAAATCGAAGAGACACCGTTCTTCGAATTTCAAAAGCCAAATTTTTAGGATAAAGTTCGTCAACATTTCTCAGACACAATCTCATCTTTTAGATATCACGTGCAACTTTGTCAAAGATCTCTGATAAAGTTGAAAACGCGTGAATCTTACTGTTCTAATTACACCACAGTTGCTAACAAGAGTAAAGGCACAACACCGCTACCAGTTATTAGGAAATCCCTATATATGTCGACCTCTATCTTCCATAACAAGGTAGACCTACAAATATATCTAACTCTTCTTCCTCTTCAAGAATGCATCTTCAACAAAACATCTTGAAATACTCAGTTTTCTTCCTCTCCAAGAATACCTCTTTAAATAAGTCATTGAAAAGCAAAAATATCTCATATCATCAGGGACGAGAGCAAAAGTATCTCATATCATGCAATTTCCTTGTCCTTTTCTTTGTCCTTATTCTCACCTGTAGGACTAAGGAGAAAGAAAGCAATCAGTCGGAACTTGAAATCAAATTTTCAGTCAGGAATTGACTGCCTGGAAACTTTCTTGATTGCTTACCTAGCATTGCTCTTGAGTACTCATTTTCAAACTGCTGATATGATGATTGGAGCTGCCAAGCATGATGAGTCATTGAGAAGTGATGTTCTGAATGACCTTTCAAATGCAAGGTTTGCATTCCACTCCTGCATCAGAGGACAAATACTGCAAGAGAATATGTCAAACCTGCATAGGGAAAATACCAGTTCTGCAAGGGGAACAGATAAAGGCAAGCGAAAATGATACATTGAAGCATGTGGAGACAAGCACAACAAAACACGAACTGATTCATCCTCGACGGAGCCGAAGATCACTTGTCATGTGGAGCTGTTCGTGGTTCCATTTCATTCAAGGACAAGTCCCAAAGATCTTGAAGAAATCACAAGTCCGGTTCAAGATCAAGTGTCCACCACCCTTGAATCAAATTCCGTTCCAGATAAAAGGAGTAAATTCAGACCTTTGGTGCAAGTCTAGCAGAAAGTCCTACAACTTAGTTCAAGAAAAAGTATGTGGAAAGTTAACAACAAATAAAGTACCTTATTCGGCAACTCTCCCCGCTAAGAGACTAAAGCAGAAAGATCAATGATCAACCTAAAGAATTTGAAATCAGGGGGAGATACTCATCAGGGGGAGCATCCAAAACAAAACAAGATTTTAACAAGTTAATTGAAGACTTATGGTCATCCAAGGGGGAGTGTTGCAATTCACAGGCCATTCATTGTGGATGGCCACCTATCCCACTACCAATCCACTGTTCATCCCACAACAACTTTGTCTAAAGCCTTGTCTATAAAATGGGTAAGAAGAAGGAGAACAAATATACACAGATAGACATACGGCTGGTAGAGGAAGAAAAAAGAGAGAAAGAAGAGAAGAGATAATAGAAATAGCTATCTTTGTAATCTTATTATTCTAGATTATAATTAAAGCACCACTGCTGCCCCGAGGACGTACTCCAATCACATTGACTATAGAGGAACCTCATAAATTTTGTGTCTTATTTATTTATTCCACTGCACACACCGTCAGTTTTACAACAATATACTAATTGTAACATTTTTAACACTAAAGGAATTAAAAATAGAAAATATTTTATTATTGAAATAATTAATGATGTTATTAATACCAAGGATCTTGATTAAAAATTAAAAATGAATAAGGTTTTAATCAATGGAGTAACAAAATGAAGGATAGGTACCTAAGCCTATTTTTAACAAGGTGCAAATGAGACGAGAAGATGAGGAGTCTGATGAAAAAGTTCAAGTAAGGCGCAACAAACAAAACAGAGCAGCAGCCATGGTTGTGGCCATGGTGTGTCAACCAACTGAGGAACAATCTCAATGGGGTGGCTCTATTGCTGGTCGCTCTTACAAACCATGAAACAGAGCGATGTCGCATGCTAATCTGATGAACAACTACTTCAACCCCAACTCAGTCACAGAAGAAGATTTCAAACGTCGCTTCCGTACGAGGCGTCATGTTTTCGATCGTTTACTTCGTGATATCCAGCAGGTCAATCTATGCTTTCGATAGAAGCGGGATGGAGCAGGCCGCCCTGGTTTCTCACCTTATTAGAAGGTTAATGTTACACTCCGAATGATGGCCTATGACTCCCTAGCTGATTCGATGGATGAAACCTATGGTATGTTTGAGTCTACATGCCTTGATACTCTTGAACAATTCTGTGATACAATTGTTCAGGTTTACAAAGACGAGTAGCTCTGCGAGCCAAATCAAGAAGATCTGAATCAGCTCTTTTGCAAAGCTGAATACCGTAGGTTTCTGGGCATGATAGGATCATTAGATTACGTGCATTGGGATTGGAAGAATTGTCCCATTGGAAGACAACGAGGCTTTAGCAGAAAGTCGAGAAAGCCAACTGTTGTGTTAAAGGCAGTTGCCTCATATGACACATGGATCTAGCATGCTTTCTTTGGAGTCCTTGGATCCCAAAATGACATTACAGTTCTTGGGCGTTCACCCTTCTTCAATAACTTGACAGAAGGTAAAACACCTTAACTTAACTACTACATCAACAACCGTCAATGCAATATGGGGTATTACTTAGCAGATGACTTTTACCCAAAGTGGGCAACACTTGTCCAAGCAATTCCAAACCTTAGGAATGATGCAAAAAAGTTGTTTACCTCACACCAAGAGGCATATCAGAAAGATGTTAAGAGAGCTTTCGGTATTCTACAAGCACGGTGGAAGATCATTAGCGAATCGACAAGAGGGTGAAGTCGAGAAAATTTGGACTCCATCATGATGTCTTGCATCATATTACACAATATGATAGTGGAGGATGAGCGAGATGGATATATTGATAGAGAGTCCGATGACGACCAAGAAGATCCAAATAGGTCAAGAAGGGCTCGTGCAAAAATATATGATGGGCCTAATTTGCCTTTCAATCCAAGAACTGGTAATATCTCTATAAATGAGTACACGAGGCTATAGAATGATACGTTCTTGTGCCACAAACAAGTACCTACAACAGGATCTTGTTGCACATCTTTGGGCCAAAAGAAGCATGGAATAGGCGTTTAAGTTTTATGTTGTTAAATGTTTTTAAAAATATTCTTTAAGTTTCATGTTGTTAAATGTTTTTTTGATGTTGTATAATTTGTATGTTGGTTAATGTTATTTAATGTTGTTTTATATTGTTTAATGTTACTTAATTTAATTTAATGTTGTATAATGGCTTTGGAAGTTATAGGAAAAAAATATAATTTAAAAAAAATATGAAACAAATTTTGTGAAATAGAAGTTATAGGAAAAAAAATAGAATTTAAAATAAAATGAAACAAATTTTTTGAAATAGAAGTTATAGGAAAAATTTTGTAAATAAAAAATAATAATAAAACTGTAAAAAAAAAAAAATCAAATGCAACGGCTAGCTGATGTTAGCTGGCCGTTGCATTTGAATTTTAGCTTAAGGATAAAATAATATAAATGTATTCTTGTCGGTTATAACCGACAGAAATAATGATTTTTCTGACAAGAGCTAGCCAGCCAGCCAGCCCTCCAACCCTTTCAGATTCCGTGGGGACCCCTTAGATTCCACGAGCCCTCTGGCCTAGCCCTCGGTTGGAGACGATTTTCAGGTTATTTTCGACCCTCTGACCCTTTAGATCTTTCGATTGGAGACAGCCTAATTTCTCCTTTTCTCTATTAACTTTGTGGACTGAGTTTTATTTTCCTCCAAATATTTCTGGTTCAAGTTTTGACAAGAAACATGGACAAACTAGTTCAAAGATATTTCTCCATCAGTTACCGAAAAATCCACACTTGGCTTTTTCTGGTTCAGAAAATATAGGTGTGCTTATCAATCCACAACCCAACAACAAAATCAATCAAATTATCTTTCAATTGGATATTTTGAACACCCACAATAGTGTTCAACATTTTTTTTTGTTCAAATAAAGTCAAAGTAAGGATCCCAGTATTTGTAGCTCCATTCACCTTTTTGGGTTTGGTCAATGGTAATGCCGTATTATTCACAATTTTTTTATTAGTTTTTGTTATAAAAATAAAAAAATAAAATAAAGGAAAAATAACACACTTGTTCTCTTCGACCAGAGAGTTCAAAAAATTATACTTTCCTCTTAACTATTAAATTAGAACTTACGATTAAATTAACATCAAACGGTGAGCGACCGCAACTCGGAAAGGAAAGTGAGGCAAGGAGGTTACATAGACGGATAAAAGATAAACATTTTTACCAATTCACGCAGCCTCTTGTCGCCATAAACAGACAGGGAGGAAAAGCAATAGCTGGACCACCTCAGATTCATCACACAAATTAAATTCACACCATTATTCTCCCCCATTTCTCCCTTCTCCCAAAAACTCAGCTCAAATCTCTCTCTCTCTCACCGAGACACCGACAACACCAGCATGATGTGGGACGAGTGGGACGACACCATTTTCTCCGACGCCGACCAACAACAACAACAACAACAATCCGACCAGGATTCCCACCTCAATTTCGATTTCTTCTCCGACCTCTCCAAACCCAAGGTCTTCTTCCTTCCCCCGTACAATTAGGGTTTTCTTAATAATTTGTTTTCGAATTTTTGAGCTGGTAATTTACTTAATTACATGGTTATTGCTGTATTTAGGATTACTACAAGATATTGGAAGTGGATTATGATGCCAATGACGATGCCATTCGGTCCAACTACATCCGCCTCGCCTTGGTTTGTATTTTCGATTATTTTACACTTTTTTTTTTTTTTTTTTTTTTGTGTTTTTATTACTTGGGATCCTTTTTTTGCTGATTGAAATGGTTTAAAGTTTGCGTCTTTGTGATTTGTGGGTGCAGAAATGGCATCCGGATAAACACAAGGACCAGGACAGTGCCACCTCCAGGTTCCAAGAGATAAACGAAGCTTACCAAGGTCAATTTTACTTTCTTGCCATTTTGCATTTTGCCGTACTTTTGAGCTAGCGACGGTTGCTTAGAGTTTTCGGATTCTCGCTGCAAAATTTCAGCTAGAACATACTACTTGAGTGGAGTAATTTGTGTGCACATTGACACAATAGTTTTGATTTCGGAGTAATCAGAGACTTTGTTATCAGATACTGTGATGTGGGGTTTAAATTTTGGGTTAGGAAGTCTGGGGCGGTGTTAAGTTTTTTTTTACGGAACTGTATGTTAGTGAAGAGGGTTGTTGAGTGTAAACATCTCTTGTTTGGTGGATTGCTGCAACTACCTAACAGTCGACCATTTAGGTAGTTGTTACTGGTCCATTCTTAGAGAACTCTGTTGTAAAAATTAGGTGTCACCAGCTTCCCTGAGTCACACCACCATTTTTAGCAGGTGTTTCAATCATTATCTCATCATCCTCGTAGCTACTTTGATTAGTCTCTGGTGTGTCCAGATGACTTTTGACTTTGTGGCCAGATGAGATTTCGAGGAAGGTTGGCCATGGCACTTGCAGCAAGCATTTCATATGACAATTTAATTTAGAGGTGTAGACTTGTGGCTTATCTAGTTCATGCTGTAGTTGATTCAAACCAACATTTGTCAGTAATTTAATTGAATCCATCTTTGTTTGATCAATTTTCCATGGCTCACCAAACATATTATGACAGAGGCTGTATGAAAGTAGTTTTTGAGCCCTACAGTGATAATAGTCCAATAGATGTCCGCTTGATGCATGATTGTTTTATTACCAATTATACGAGTATAATCTGGAGTTTTTAGAAAGCTGAAGGAGTGTGAAGTTGGTATTGGGTACTTGAATTACTGTATAATTAGAAATGACCTCTGGATGACAAAACATCAAACGAAACATGGACAATATGGGGAATTACTGGAAAGGCTTGCAAAAAAATTACAGCAGGGAAGCAAATTTTTGCAAAAACGAATTTGCCAGCTTGTTCTTCTGTGTTATTGTTCATCCATTAATTTTTCCAACTTGACGAAAAGGTATCTGGGAAATACTATCTAGATATGAGTTTCCCGTTAGCCATATGTGTGTTAGTTGTTAACCTTCGGAAGGCATGCTTCCCAAAGGTAACATATTGACTATGCTGCTTGAGGATAGGATATGCTACACTGAAAAACATACAAAGTCAGAAGAAGAACATTGTAACTCAACTGATTTACATTAAACTTATTTTAGCCAAGTGAGGCCTTCATGCCTTTTAATTTTCCTTGTACATGTATATATCTATTTCTCCTTGGTACATTCCCCAAGAGAACTCAGATGTCACTTGGCTTGTATGTACAATTTATTTTTCGTTTTTTGGTAGTTCCACAAATGGGTTCTTGCTTCTTGGAGAACCCATAATATAACTCTAATGAAATGTCTAGCAGATGATTTGAATCTGACCAAGAGTTTTGATTTTATTAAACAGTTTTGAGTGATCCAGCGAAGAGAATAGAATATGACAAAAAAGGGATGCTTTACGTCTACGATTATAATATAACTGTAAGAATTCCCTCTTTCTGTACCATCAGATATGTTTCTTTTTCTGCATCTACATTACATTTCCTTCCGTGGTTTTCTTCCTTCTAACTTACAGTTTGTTGACCACAGGAGTATCTAAACCGCTACAAAGGTCTTATATTGACGTGCAATGGCCTCGGGATAAGGACTTCAATTTGGTAAGACAAAACAACCTGCACAGGAACCCTTTTCGTTAAAGCCGGGAAAAGGTTTACAACGTGCATGGCACATATTTGCCCGACACTGCAAGCGGCATCTTTGTGGAAAACAAGGACCTGTGGCTTTGGTTGTATTTTGAGGTTGCTACTATCATGTGCTCGTGTATAAAATAGAGAAACAACATGTTACCATCGTTCTTGTAGAGTTGTATTTGTATAATCTTCTTCTTGCCCTCGATGCTTATCCACAAATTATGGAATTGTTCGGTGGTAGAACCCGAGACAAACCTTTTTTTGTTTGTTTTGGGTACTGAAAAATGTACGTGGGTGACATTTGAGAGCACATGGAACTTATGGTCTTGCTTTTTAATCTGTTATTCTCATTTCATTGGAAATCTGAGGGATCTAGTTTTGGTACGTGCCGTGCTTGGACGGTCGTTCCAACTCATGCTTGTGCGGCCTTTAAAACGTGAGGGAATGTTAGGATCCAATTGCCCCATGTTGAAAAAATAGCATGCCTTGGCGTGGTTTATGACATCTTGGGCACTCTTTCCTTATAAGCTGGGGTTTACGGTAAAACTAACCAAAATTGATGTTCAAAAGACAAAATTGCCTAGACTAAAACTTTCTCTTCTCCTTATGTGTTTCTCCTCTCTAAACTTCTCATCTCCATTTCAATTATTGAATTAAACTACTTTGCTCAATGACAATTACAGCTCGGGTAGCAATCAAGAAACTCGTCGTGCGGTGGAGGCCCTTACTAGCAGGTTTTGAGGTAAGGAAAAAGTGGAGCTCGGTGATGTGCTGATCTCTTGGTTTAATTGCTTTTGAGTAAAGCTAACAGAGTACTGTGGTGGTGCCTGAACTCTGGTGGTTCAACAATAGAGATGAGGTACAAAGTTAAAAAAATCACAATATTGGGAGGAAGAGAGAGAGTTTTAGTCTAAGGGCAATTAAGCAATTTTGGTTAGTTTCATAAGAATTGGAAAAACTAGGCTATATTTCGAGAAGTGCTCTTCAGAATGGCTATATTTCCAAATTTTTCAATTTTTTTAGTGACAAGTTTTTAATTATTCCTCATAAGCTTGTTTTTAGTGACAAGTTCTTAATAGTGGCTCTCTTTCCTGCTCTCTTTCCTTATAAGCTGGTTTTTAGCGACAAGTTCTTGATAATTTCTTATATAGTTGATATTAAAGTTTGATTATACCATGTAATTAGGCATAGTCTTCAAAAGATACTATCATGTAACTACTAATTTCACATGACAAACATCTATTGGATAGTCTGTGTAATTTTTAAACACGCGGCAAAAATTTAATGGACGAGTGACGCCACTGAGACTATGCATTGGTTACAGGAGAGAATCTCTTCTAATCTTCGTGAAAGGGGCAAACCTACAGGTTGGATGTGGATTAATATTATGTGCGTGCACATTATGAAGTCAGTTGAATAATTGTAGTGTGATGGAATGTTACAATCCAACAGTCCCACAACGAAAATAAAATGTCTTGGGCAGTTTGCATCTTTTTTGTCACAAGCCAGTTTTTATAGGCAAGTTCGACCATCTCTCTTTCATCTCTTTGAGCAATCCTACAGACTCAAGCTTCTGCGGCCTTTAAAACGTGTGGGAATGTTAGGATCCAATTGCCCCATGTTGAAAAAATAGCATGTCTTGGCGTGGTTTATAGCTCGGGTAGCAATCATGAAACTCCTCGTGCGGTGAAGGCCCTTAATTGCAGGTTTTGTGGTAAGCAAAAAGTGGAGCTCAGTGATGTGCTGATCTCTTGGTTTAATTGCTTTTGAGTAAAGCTAACAGAGTATTGTGGTGGTGCCTCAACCCTGGTGGTTCAACAATAGAGATGAGGTATAGAGTTAAAAAAATCACAATATTGGGAGGAAGAGAGAGAGAGTTTTAGTCTAAGGGTAATTAAGCAATTTTGGTTAGTTTTATAAGAATTGGAAAAACTAGGCTATATTTCGAGAATGCTCTTCAGAATGGCTATATTTCCAAATTTTTCGATTTTTTTAGTGACAAGTTTTTAATTATTCCTTATAAGCTGGTTTTTAGTGACAAGTTCTTAATTATAAGATAGTGGTGCTCTTTCCTTATAAGCTAATTCTTAGCGACAAGTTCTTAATAATTTCTTATATAGTTGATATTAAAGTTTGATTATACCATGTAATTAGGCCTTGTCTTCAAAAGATACTCTCATGTAACTACTAACATCACATGACAAACATCTATTGGATAGTCTGTGTAATTTTTAAACATATGGCAAAAATTTAATGGACGAGTGATGCCATTGAGACTATGCATTGGTTACAAAAGAGAATCTCTTCTAATCTTTGTGAAAGGGGCAAACCTATAGGTTGGAAGTTGATTAATATTATGTGTGCACACATTATCAAGTCAGTTGAATAATTGTAGTGTGATGGAATGTTACAATCCAACAGTCCCACAACGAAAATAAAATGTCTTGGGCAGTTTGCATCTTTTTGTCTCAAGCCAGTTTTTATAGGCAAGTTCTACCATCTCTGCACAACCCTCCAATTATCGCGTTGAAAGTCGCGGTTTCAGCTTTGCACCCTCTCTCTTTCATCTCTTTGAGCAACCCTACAGACTCATTCACTTTCCCAGTCCTACAGCAGCAATAACCAAAGCAGTGTAACCAACTGTATCGGACTTTATGCTGAAGCTCGTCGTTTTCATGGGAAATTTCCTTGGCCTTCTCCTCTCTCTTCTCTTTACAGAAACGATTCATCAGATGCTTTGTTAGATCTGAATTTGGATTATGGATGAGATAATCAAGGACGACATGCTATAAAAAAATTTATTTTCATTGGATTAATCGGATACTTTGATACCGCATCACATGGATTAAGAAACATGGGCCGAAACTTCGCTATAATTCACGTAGTTTTGATTTTCGCAATTTAACTTTGCTATAGTTCACTAATTGTTGCAATTTCGGGAGGACAAAATTTATTAATATTTTTTGACTTTTTATATTAGCATCCCACAAAATGTTGAATGCACCTCATATTAAAATTTAATATTAAAGAACTTATTTACCCCACCATGCAATGACAATTTTGACCTTATTAGGTTTTAAAAAAAAAAAATTCTAAATACACCCCAAATCACTTTTAATGTATTATTTATTCTCTTAAACTATCAAAACCCCTCGCACTCCAAATCATTTTTAATGATGATTTTCAACTAGGCAGTGGTTGCAGTGACTACAGTATGGCCATGTCCTTCTGGGAGATCATGAACTGATTGCAAAGTGAGGGCAATAGCTATGGCCCCCGAAGTTCTACTCAATCTCATAATTCAAGACTTAGCACTTATGAATCTCATAATTCAAAAGCCATGGCCTCCGAACTGATTGCAAAGTGAGTCAATGGCATGCATAAGGTGATTTCTTGCACTATACTAAGATGCTTTCTTGCAAGTGACTTAGTGTAAGATCCCACATCGTCCAGGGGAGTGATCCTTATATGTATATTCTCATCCCTACCTAGCACGAGGTATTTTGGGAACTCACTGGCTTCGGGTTCTGTAGGAACTCCGAAGTTAAGCGAGAAGGGGGCTAGAGCAATCCCATGATGAGTGACCCACTGGGAAGTTGCTTGTGAGTTCCCAAAAATAAAACTGTAAGGGAATGGTAAGCCCAAAGCGGACAATATTGTGCTACGGTAATGAAGCAGGCCAGGGAAGTGATTCCCCCCGGGCCGGGATGTGACAAATTGGTATCAAAGCCTAACCCTGGCTGTGGTGTGCCGACGAAGACGTCGGGCCCTTAAGGGGGGTGGATTGTAAGATCCCACATCGCCTAGGGGAGTGATCCTTATATGTATATTCTCATCCCTACCTAGCATGAGGCCTTTTGGGAGCTCACTGGCTTCGGGTTCTGTAGGAACTCCGAAGTTAAGCGAGAAGGGGGCTAGAGCAATCCCATGATGGGTGACCCACTGGGAAGTTGCTCGTGAGTTCCCAAAAACAAAACCGTAAGGGAATGGTAAGCCCAAAGCGGACAATATCGTGTTACGGTGGTGAAGCGGGCCCGGGAAGTGATTCGCCCCGGGCCGGGATGTGACACTTGGTTCGACCAAAATATGCACAAGAAAATGGAAACAACATGGTAGCTTTGAAATCGTTATTATTATTATTGAAAAATGTTCAAATGAATCTAAATATTTTTGAAATCATTCGGCAAGCTAAACGTTCAAATGTTTAGATTTAGTCCTTGAAAATTAAAAATGAGTGCTATAAGATTTGAGAAATGTGGGATGTATGTAGAAAATATAAGGTGTATATTAAGAATGTGAGGTGTGAGGGTATTATAGAGAAGTATATGTAGTGTATTAAGATAATTTTTAATTGAAAAAGCAAATGTAGGGTGTATTAAGTGTATGCGGTTTAGTCAACAATTTGTGGAGTGTTAATATAATAAGTCTTTTTTTTTTTTTTTCACAAAACTAATGCGTGCCAATTTTTTGGACTAAAGAGGATGCTCTAAGTATTCTTTTTTTTAAAAAAAAAAAAAATATAGTTACCAAACTTGAACGAAGAGAGACTCTTAAGGGGATGATTTGGTAACCATTTTGTTTTAAGTTTTCACAAAGAATTTGTTTGGTAAGTCGGTAACTGATTTCAATTTTTGGTTTTCACAAAGATGAAAACTGTTTTCGGACAAAAAAAATACAGTTTTAAAAAATTTCTCTAAAAGCAATTTCAGTTTTCGTTTTCATTTTCACTCCCTTTTATCATTCACCAATTCCATGTCAAAAAACATGCATCGTACCCCCATCTCAAAAGTCGATCTCTAAAACCTTTTGACTTCGATCAGGCCGCTCGACTCTTGTTTCCAAGGCTAAACATGATAGTGGAATATTTTACTTACATCAGAACACCTTGAGAATTGCATGCTGGGAGAAATCGACACCAAGAAAAACCAAGAAGAATCACACAATGCCATGTAGAAGTAAACTTAAGTTATTTAACTATAGAGTCCACATATTATCTTAGAAACTGACCAACAGCAAACCCGGCGGCGATAGTAATTCTCGATTACAACCGTAACACTAGGAAGCTGATATACAGCTTGTTTTATTTGGGATACTTGCACACATACCTGCACATAATCAAACACAATAGAAACATCTGCTTGCCTACTTCAAACACTCGAACGTGCTTTGAGTCAGTCCCTTGTGCTGTTTTTGATCCATTCTAAGTACGGGAGACTGCCTGCGTTGATGGGTAAGGCGATAACTTCCGGAACACTGATAAAAGAGAAAACAAGAAAAGAGAAGTCAGTCCTAGTAGAAGGGATTATGGAATGTAGAAACATTCTGAATAGGTGGAATTTGCGGCAATAATCCTTGGAGAGGGGTTCGGCATATGATCTTGTCAATCAGTTACGTAGAGTATTTTTGTGGCTACCACAATCTTCTATTTATTTGGAACTTTCAGCTTGCAACGAAGTTATATGAAAATTATTCAGTAAAATCTTTGGGCTTACTCGTATGGATGGTTTGCCTTGACATGCGCTGTCAGAGCTTCAAAAAGGGATTGCCTTGTCTTGATTATAAGAAGTTCTTCAGAATCTGTCTGGACCTATCCACCAATAAGAAAGGGTGAAATAAAAACACATATATTTTGCATATCTCGTGCTTGCTTATGAAAATATACAATTTTCAATGAAACAAAATAGCATGTTAACTATCCAAAGTGGAAGGGTTATTAGGGGTATCTCTGCACCCTTCCCTATGATCATGCGATAATCCAGGCTATCTTGGGAAATGTGATCGGTACCTCTCCTTTCCACTGATAGACGGACTCAATGCCTGCATTCACAATATTCAACATGAATCAGACAAGAAATACAACATTGATGCAAGTAGTATGCCACAATGTTAATGAGGAAATTCATAAGTTCGGTTGTCAATTCAAGATTAAAATGTAATATCAATAGAAGGGACGACATGAGAAATTTATTTAAAAAGACTCATATTAACAGTTCAAGTGATAGCATGCATGTTAAGAAGTACAGAGCTTGGGAAATCCCAACAAACATCAATGTTCTTCCTATACTAAGCGATTAACCAAGGCAATAAATACTTAAAAGTCCACACATTGTAATCTTGATCAGCAGTAACAGAAAAACATATAAGAGAAGAAAAAAGTGGGTGGGGGCGGGGGCTGATAAATAAGGTATAAGCTCTCACTACGAACTAAGTTCCACAATCATGTTTTAGCAGATGGTACAAGAAAAAGATGTTTGGCCTATATTCTTACTAATGTAATACCATTACAGACGGACAAATAATCTTATCTGCTGAATTATTCTATTCTGTTGACAGGCTGCAAACTGATCCAAAACTTTGGGGTAACTCCAAGTCAGATGGTTGGCATTAACCCGAAAATTACGATCATTCAGGCTTATAAAAAAACTCAAGTATCAACTTGTAAAATTTGTGTTCAGTCTTTCCATTATCATTTTGCTTTCCCAGAAAAGAGTTCAGTCAGAACAAGCAAATGTAAACTTGACAGCCCTTGCTCTTTGGAATATTTATGGATGACTTCAATTGGCCGACAACAAAAGCAGTAGACAAAACAATATCCAAGCATAATGTAAGGATTAATATGAAGTAATATACCTGGCACTAGGTTAACACAGGCTGCAAGTTGTTCTCTGACTAAGCTTTCAGCCAACTTCTTTCCTGCAGAAAGATAGTATGTCATAAAAGATCAAATACATAAGGTAGTTTCAGCTACAGTCTTCCAACCCTTAAACAAAAGCTTGGGATTTATTAAATTTCGAAGCTATGAGAAAAGTGCGCAACACATAAGATTGAGTAAAGGGCTAAGAGAACCTACTGTATATCTCAAAGAAAAAATGGGAAGACTAAGGTGTGACCCATGTGCATTGTTTATTATTCGAGTGTCGACCAAATATATCACACATGCTTTCTTCATATATCCAATCTACCGGAAAGCAAAAACAAATTTCAAACGCAAGAACATCCAATTGGCACAAATTTAAGTACTTGTTACTTGTAAGCAGCATTATAACATGTTCTAGTTGAATTCTAATGACCTAAAATTCGCACATTGTAGAGTTAGCAGGATGGTTTTTAAATACTGAATCACATTGGTGTATCCAATTTTATGCGCCTTCCCGTGGAAGATGCTGCCACATTGTCCCCAAACTTGCAGATATCCATTCACTAGAAATGCCATGAAAATCGCCTAATCGCCAAAGAATGCTCATAGACGAAGTTACCATGCAGATTACACTTAACTCATCATCATTTCACACAAAAATTCAACCATACATTCATCTTGTTCCTCAATTATCAAGCACCTAACGATGAAAAATCGTATAACTTTTCGAAAAAGAAAACAAACCCAAATAAAAAAATGCTAATCAAAGAAAACCCATCAATCATTCTATCAATAAAATACCAACCTACTTCTCTGCTGGGCACAGTCACATAAACAACAATACTTGGAACAGTGGCACTGCTACTCCCTTCCATCCTCACAGAATGAACGGCTGCTGATTGGCTGCCAAACCTTGATCTACAAACCAACAGCACAGTAAACAATGAAATTACAAAAAAAACAATCGGATAACGAAGGTGAAGAAGGGGGCGGTGTTTACCTCAAGAGAGGGGCAAAAGGGAGAGAGAGAGCAGTGCCGGTTCTGAAGGCGGAGAAGGAGAGAGTGGGAAGGAGGTTGGAGATGCCCAAGGTGACTACGCAGAATGCTCCCACCAGGGGAAGACGGCGTCGTAACGTGACGGAGGAGGAGATGGTTCGAAGGGCTTTGGGTCTGCAGAAGAGTGTAGAAGCCATTTGTGAGAAGCAACAGGTGGGTATCTATAGTTTTGTTGCGCGTCATCATTCAGCCTGTTTGGGATTCGTTTCTTGATGCTCTAACCCGGGATAACATGATCCCAACAGCATTTTTTTTTTTGGGGGGTCAGAGTGATTCCAACAGATATGCAATTCTAAATATAAGTTGAGGTGTGATATCCACGTGCTTTTCTTTATTTTTCACATATTTTTAAATTTTTTATCGTTTGATCGAATGAATTAATGTAGATAAAAAAAAAATTAATAAGAGGTGTATGATAAATAAATAGGAGTGTATATATAGCACACCCCTATAAGTTTCGTTCTTATTTTTGGTAAGTTGTCCTAAACTTCAATTCATGTCAATTGATCTTGTTAATTATTATAAAGCAATTCTCATATAAAAACTCCTTGGATTTGGACAGTTGGACATAACGGGATTTCTATTGGGCCAAGAGGAAGACGATTTCTATTTGGGCCAAGCGTGCTTTGTAATTGAAATTAGCTTAACATATTGGGCCATGAGGAAACAGATTTCTTTTGGGCCAAGCATAAAAATTATCATGTTTTGCATAAGCAAATATTTAATTTCTGCTTTAATTTCTCTTTGATTAGTACTCTTGTTTTTAATGAAGGCTCGTCAGCTGCATGCGTTTGCTGATTTGAGCCAACTGAAGCTGCGTCTTTATGTTTGCCGTTCTTGGTGGCCAGGGTTGCTCAAGAGATCGCCTAATTTGGAATATCTTGTCATAGACTTTGATGTTAGACGCATATTCATTTATGCTATACAACACCAACTTGCGGCTCTTAACGATTGTCGTTTCGTTCGTTCTTTTAAATCAATGTCAGAACGACAATACTTGTGATTATGATTCCGATCTGGCAGACACAGAGCTTGGATGGAATCCGCCAGATTTTGTGACTTGTTGTTTGTTGTCACGCCTCAATACTATCTGTATAAGAATGGATTCATTTCAACATATTCTCACTTCCCGACTCGTATCTTTCACACCACGTTGTGATCAACAATCTCACTAGTCACGACATTAGTTTTCGATCCTATTATTTTACAATTTTTACCATTTATGAGTTGTGTGTAGCCAATGTGGTCAATTATATGAATTAAGCATATTTTGGGTCATGCCTGACACTTCCATGTTTTCTTCTCAACAACTCTCCTTCATGTTCTGTGAGAAACAGGCAAGAAAGGTCAAAAGTAGTGATGAGGATGGCTCCACCAGCCCCCTGCATTGGTTTTATTGCCCATGCACGTCTCTCAACTTCATGATAATTTCATTACATTTATATGCAGGTGAGAATGGGATGACCATTTAGCACATGTTCAGGATGAAGGATTAATTAAATTATTTAACAAGCACACATCTATTGCATGGAAATAAGAATAAATTATGTATCTCCAAGTCCCTTGCAAAAAAATATATAATCGGCATTGAAAGCATAATGATTCTATTAGCAATTGTAAATCGTTTTCAACAATTACATGAGATATTGGGAGAAACTACGATATCAAAAAAAACTAATGGAAGGTGAGGTTACTTTTGATACAAATGCAAAGAAACTGACTACCAATTCCTGCAAGTTGCAACAAAGTATATTGTAAACACGAAAATCCTGCAACAAATGACAAGAGAACACGTGTACAAACAATATTTGTATTAATGTAATTTAGGGTTATAATCTCTTTACAACTTGATCATCTGATTCAATCTCCTAAATGTGTAGATGTGTGATGTTGGGGTTGTTAATCTAAGAGTCGCGATAACTTGATCTTGGATGAACGATTGCCTCAAGGATTTGGTCTGTAGCGAATCAAGAACTGGCACGTGTGGTGGTGGTTGATGATTCTTCAAGGGTTTTGGTGAAGAACGTAGAGGGCTTTCTGAATTCTTCAGAGTGTTTGATGGTGTGAGTTTGGGAATGTGGATGCTTAAGAGCTTTAAAATTTCAAAGCTTCAGCATCTGGACGTGAAATGATTTTTGAAACCCTTTTCTTTCTCTTGGAGCCTCCTATTTATAGACTTTCAAAGCTTTGCCTACGAAACAACCATGACTTGATTTGTGTGTTGGTTCGTGATTTGTGACTTTACTCCATCAATTAATATTTGATTTAAATAAATATAAAATAAATAAGTCAATTCATTTAAATTAATTAATTTGTTTAATTTATATTAACATCAAATAATCCCTTTCTGACACATGTCCTCTTGATGATTCGTTCGATTTTGTTGAGTCATGCACCGTGTGTACAATTTGTGAGACACATGGCGCATGCCACATATGCTCTAGTTCATCGAAATTTTAATGCGTTGGTCAACATTTATTTCACCGAAATTTCAATGTTTACATATATACCCTTGGAAATGGGATCCCGTGGAATCAAATTTTGCAGGTTTCTTTTATCCATGCCTATCTTGAATCAAAGGTTGAAGATATTGACCATAATTCGGTATTGTTTTCTTTTCTCTTTGTGGGATACATACTGCTTGTTTTACACAACTCACAAAAATATTGATTTTCTCTAACACCTACTAAAATCATTTCCATAGTGCTTGTTCTTAAGCAATGTAATAGCAGTTATTTATAATCTAATTAGGCTTCAAATTGAACTTTTATAATAAACTAAACCCTAACCTTTAAACGAAAACTTAATTCTAACGGGTTGAGCCTAACATCCAAACAATAAAAGAATCCTAAATATTAATATTTTTCAACAAAAAATACCCCAATTACAACCAGTAAAGTCCTATAAAAATTTATATAATATGTATAAAGGATTAAAAATGAAAAGATGTGATGACAAGCCAAACAAAGACATGACTAAATAAACAAGTGTGAATACTACAAAAAGTGGTTAACTGGTCCTAGCAAGGAGCAGTAATAAGAGGTACTACTTCATCAAGAAGTGTGAGGTTTTGTTGCATGCTATGACATTTTGTTAAATGATTTTTGGCATCTCCACATTTAGACAGTGAGAGTGCATATGAATTACCTAACACAAATCATGTACTGGGATTCCCAATTCAACCATTTTCCCTTCTCCCAAACATATGGCCCCAACCTAGAAAACAAGAGTCCCCAAGACATATAAAGCGAAGCAATGCACCTTATGAAAATGTTGAAGCAACCGTAATTTTGTGACGACATTGGTTGACCACATAACATAACGGTTGATTTATTAGTTAATTATTTTGAACTCGTACGACGTCCAGAAATACTAATTCAATCAAAATGAGATTTCAATATTCTTAGCCCTCACTTTATGGAAGGGATCCAAAAATTTGAGTTCTAAGCGAAATCCGAGTTTATAGACTTACTTAAGTAAACCATGAATATCTCTCAAATGCGTATTCAACGTGATGCTTGTGTGGGTATCAACCATCTCACTGTGTGATCAGCTAACCTGGTGAAAAAAAATATGATCGTTTTAAATATCTGCAAAAGTCCATATAGCCCATATGAGTTTAAAGAGAGAGTGAGGCTTGCCTGCCAGCTCATTCTAGTTCAGAAAATGATTTATTTAGAATGTTATTGCTAATGGGGGCCAAATGAAAAATTCAAAAGATAAGATAGAATTGCACGAGAGGCACGAAAAGGGAGGACGCGTGGACCCCGATCCTTTGCCACGTAGAATTCTTGTTTTTAATCGATGGCTCTGGCCACGGAAGACACGGCGGATGTTCTGGATTCGATGGATGGCGGACCACGGCGTTGCTGCTGCTTCTGCACATGGCTTGGATTCGTATGACCAAAATCAAAAGGTTATCAACTCAATGTTAGCCTTCTGGTTTTTTCAGCTTTTTTTTTTCTTCTCATTTTTTGTGTTCTTACATTTAGTTAATAAATTTCAGCTTACTTTCACACTTAGGTTTTGTTAGAAAACTCTTTCCAGTTGGTTTTGTCGGTCAAAGGATGTAACTTGCAAGTTAAATTAATCAATGAAGTGGTGAATCTCAAGGGCTTAGGTTAAGTTCAACGTTTAGCACCTAGCTCGACTAAATGCAATTTTATGCCGAGTTTGATGGAAGATTACTATTATTTTCGGTTGTATACCTATCTGTGTCAATTTCCATATTTACTCAAGACATAAAGAGATACACGACTAGTTTACAAGGTTAATTGTCACAAAATTAAGATAATTAATTAGTAATCAGAGTATTATAGGAGATTTTTAATTATCTCTCGATTATCTTTCTCGTCGTATAAAGTACATAATGATATACAATCAGTTACAAGGTAGATTCTCACTTATACTTAGAACTACTTAATTAGTCAATTACATTTGTTTATAAACAATGATTCAAATTAAAGACGGAACATGAATACTATTGTTTATAAACAACGATTCTATCTCCATCCCTTCCCATGAATTTGCCATGCATGCATGCATGCTTAAAGAGTTAAAGAGTCATAAAGGTGAATAAATATATCCATAGGTTCAATGAGTCATTGTTCTCCGTCTCTGAACTTCTAGCAGTGAAAAAGAATAACTATACATGTGTATATATAAACCGAATGCACGAGTTTAAAAAACGTAGTGGTCTGAGTGACACTCTGTATAGCTCGGATCTCAACCAAGAAGAAGACCCTCTCTCTCTCTCTCTCTCTCTCTCTCTCTCATATTCATACATATATACGAAAAGAAAAGGTCTTAGGAGGAGGAAGAGGGGGCCTGCTGACTCCTCCCTCACTTGGTCCTGAGTCCCCATCTCTTATTGAAATAAAGATGGATATTGTCTTTGATATTAGCAAAAGATCTGACATGGAACAAGTGTTTAAAATTAGGGTTCAATAAAAAAAGGAAAAGACGAAACTGAGTGTGAAACTGTGAAAGGAGAAAAGGTGAATTCCAAATAGTAGAAAAAGGAGCATTTCAAAGAAGCCAGACGCAGGAGGAGAAAAAAGGGTTAGAAATTTGTGTCCCTAAAGATTAAAGTCTCTTTTGGATCTATTATATGTAGGCATGTCTTAATATTGAATCCAAGGAACAAGTATCC